TAAAAAGATAACCATAAAAGGCCATATGAAGTAAATTTATTTAAAATGGGGACCATATTTTATAATGAGCAGTGAGAATAAAATTCTGGTTAGAACATTCTCTTCCCAAATTTAAATAGTTTCTTTATCTCACATATAATAGATTATGGTGAAGACTTTGTGCTTTCTCTTGGTCAGCCCACATATATATCCATTCCTGCACATGTAACACCTGATCCGAATAGCATGGGAAACTAAAACACATCTTGGTCAGGATGACATTGATAACTGGTATTGATGTAATAAAATACTATACCAAGGTTGTAAGTGAGTTCCTTTTCATATAGAGCCTCTCCAGATGTTGTAGTCCTTCATCTTTCAGCAACTCCAATGGGAAATGGTGCAGATTCCTATAATTTAAGAACAAATTCTTGTGCTTTTCAAGCCTGGCCACAGAGATCGTCTTACAAAGTTCGGATGCCATGACTGAACATATCTGATCAGGCACACTGCAGCACTACATCTTGTCAAAACTGGTCCATTTCTATAAAGAAGACAAAAAAATTTGGCCATTGTAAGATTTCTTACGAGCACTGCATATAAACCTTTTAGCCTACACAGTTAGAACATACTAAAGATAATTACACTTTCTACCTTCTTTTGTGACAACTAAAATTTCTGCACATATTTAGGGCATTAAAATAATAATAGAATGGTCTGATTAAACAATATTTACTACTTACTGAAAAAAAAAAAAAGACCTGACTGGCTAGGCAGTGGTGGCTTACACCTGTAATCCCAGCACTCAGAAGGCAGAAGAAGGCGAATCTCTGAGTAGGGGCCAGCCTGGCCTACAAGGTGAGTTCCAGGACAGCCAGAGGTGCTACACAGAGAAACCCTGTCTTGGAAAACTGAAAGAAGGGGAAGGAGAAAGGAGGGGAGGGGAGGGGAGGGAGACCTAACTGGGGAAAATTTCTTTTGGACTTAAGGTAGGAATCTTTATCTATGAGAGCAGAAACCAGTTTCTGGTTTTATTTTTGTAAGATGGGCCAGAACTTACTATACAGCCAAAGAAGATCCTAAAATTCTCATCTTCCTGTCTCTGCCTCCAGCTGTATGACACACCTCTTAGTTTCTGCAGTAGGGATATCACACCCCAAACTCTGTGCATGCTGGGAAAGCACTTTATACCAACTGCTCTGCATTCACAGACCTCGGAGGAAAGTTGTACATCATGTAACCAAAGAAAAACAAACAACCTCAAATGCAGCAGGTCCCATTTTCATTTTGAGTTGTTTCATTTTGTATTTACTTATCTCAAACATTAAATATTATTTCTACTTACATCACTAACAACTCCTTTACTCCCTACTATATAAATATTGCCAAATGTTTCACATTTTTAGTTCTTTTATCTTTTTATCCTTCTCTTTATAGCTTTGTAGACTATTGGAAACAGCAAAGGAAGCGGTCCAAAATCACTAGTCAGAAACACTGCACTAGTAACATGAACCCCGTGTTACCCAATTACCCATCTCTCAGGGCCTTGCAGGACTCATGTAGATGTAGCAGTAAACACGTTGGTTGCAAAAATTATTGTAAAGTCTCTTCCAGCCCCAAAGGAAACTTCATTTGCCACTCCTTCCCTTGTTTTTTTTTTTTTTTTTAATCAGGGTCTCTCTGTGTAGCTCTGGTTGTCCCAGAACTCGATCTGTAGACCAGGCTGGCCTTGAACTCACAGAGATCCACCTGCCTCTGCCTCCCAAGTGCTGGGATTAAAGGAGTGCGCCACCACTGCTATTAACACAGGAGGAAACAAAATTCAGGGCTTCCTGAACTTGTTAAAGGTGGAAGAGCTCATAAAGAATTGGAGGATTTCAAAGTGTGGGCTCTTTACAATGAGGCACAGGGCTCTGGCAGACATTAAGGAAATGGAAGTGCATGACAAATGACTTGAGTTTTGCTTCTAGTTCTCTACTGAAACAGAAGAACAGGGCGCAGTTTCAACCGTTCTATTCGCTTTAAGAAAATAAATCTCATGGAGAATTTGTACGAAGGCTTTCAACAGTAGAGTTTTGTAACTTTGGGGTTACTGTCTATCATTTCCAAACTCTTATTTCTTATCTCAGAAGATAACAGCTGCCATTTTACTTGAAAGAGTTCTTCTATGAAGTGATCAATAACAGTTCCAGGTCAATCTATGAAGCTAATGCTTCCCCATATTTCTCCCATTTCCTTTCTTTCTCACTTTATTGCCAGGCACCTGATCTTCCAACATCATATGTCTTTATATAAAGTGAAGGGAACTACAGGACTGACAGCATCAGTGCCTCTGTGCAGAAAACCAAGCTGCCCAAGCAATTATCACTGAGTAAGCTGGGCACGGTTTAGCTGTCTCACAGTATCTCCAATGTCACACCTCCCCAAACATCTGTCAATGCTCATCACCTGTCACCTCTCCAGGTTTGCCTGTCTTAGCAAATGTAGGAAGACAACCTTCTCTGCACACAGCAGCTCAGATGGACGTCGTAAAGGATCCCTTTCTCCCCGACACAGCTTCTTCAATCAATCACGAGGCCAGTGTTTCTCTTTCCAAAACACATCTCAGTTCCAGCCGCATCTCTCTCCATCTGCCAAAGCCACAAGCCACTGCCATCTCCTGTCTTGGCCAGCTGCATTCCTGGCCTTCATGTGTCCACTCTAATCGCTTCCAATATATCAGCCACAGCAATGCGATGGGGGATATCCATATATATATATATATATATATATATATATATATATATATACACATATATATACATACATATATATATGTATATGTATATATATACATAGCCAGTAGCCAGACAGGAAGTATATGCAGGGCTACCAGATGAGGAGAATTCCAGGAAGAAGAGGCAGAGAGACACCATATAGCTAATGAGGAAGCAAGAAGTCCAGGTATCACCAGATAAGCCAAGAGCTCATGGAGATACGCAGATTAATAGAAATGGGTTAATAATTAAGAGAGAGCTAGCTAGTAAGAAGCCTGAGCCATCGGCCAAACAGTTTATAAGCCTCTGTGTGTTTGTTTGTGGCCAAATGGCTGCAATCCAGGTTGGACAGAAACTCTGTCTATAGCAATGAACCTCAGAAAATGTACACATAATTGCATCTCTCCATCCTGGGCATGTCTTACTAAACCTTTTAGTAATTCCTTATTGAGAAGAGCAAAGTCTTACAAAGCTTTCAGAGCTCTTGGCCATCGGGCCCAACCTGCCTGTCCAGCCTCCTCTGCCACATTCACCAAGTTCCTGGGCTCTCTTAGTCCTAGGAGCTACCAAACTCCTCCAAGCACTTGATGCTTTCCTCTTAGCCTGGAAATTGCATCTCTCCCCTCACAGATTTCAATATAAAACTCACTTCCCTGTTCCAAACTAATTATTTCCTTCTTGGTTTTCTTTCAGAGCAGGCCAGTTGTTCAGTTTTCAGAATTTCCAATACAGACAGACAGACACTTTAGACAAGTCTGTAAAATCCCAAGGGTACACAGATACTGCTGTTTCTTCATATTTGCATGGCTGCATAACACTTCAGTAACAAATACTTTTAGCTTTCAAACAGCTAATAACTGGATGAAATCAGAACAGCTCTTCCAAGTTTGACTTTTTGTCTACGCATTAAGAGCACTCATAGACTCTTTAAACTTGCTACCTGCCCTAAGGATCTTATCCTCACAAGGAAGCAATACAGCAGACACTAATTAATCTCCTTCACAGATGAGGCACAGTGTCACAAACACAATGGGGGGAGGGCTCAAGGGTCCTAACCTTACCTTACCTATAACACAGCCTTTTACAAATGTAAAATGTAACCAGTGTGTCATCATTATGAGACACACAAAGATTACACAAATGAAAGGTTTTCCATTTACAAAGTAAAACTACATCCAAAATCTCCATTCACTGTAACCAAATGGCTTTCTGAAGGCTCCAGCTGGAACTGGCTGCCTCAAACGCATCATTACTTTCTGTTGAAATGCATCTTGCTACAAAGACAGATTGAGAAATAAGGTGCATAAAAATGAAATAAAAAAGCTTTCAAAACCAATAATGCTCCCGCTTTTCCAATATGCACTCCTTGGTAATACAGCCTTTCAAAGGTTAGTTTTCCTGCCCCTTTCAAGTTCATCACCTGCTGCCTGCAGTCAATGGTAAATTCTGTACTTAGTAGTAGCTCTGTACAGCAGCATCCTCAGTTTCCTGAAAGTCCAACACCAGCCTTTTAGCAGAAACAATCTCCCAACTTAAGAAAATTCCCCATTTTTAAGCATAAGTATTTCAAAGAACAGTCCCTAACTGACTTCGCAGTTCTTGCTCTAACAGAATACACAATCTGACTTCGTAACGCTGGAGATGAGGGTCTTAGAACCCGTATATTATAAGCAATTGCAAAAGGCTGTTTTCTCCCTGAGAAAAGCTACCAGAGATCTTGGTTTTGCCCGAGTCAGTTCGATTAGAATTAGTCCCGAGAATCCGGCAGCAGGGAGCCCAAGGGTAGAGATTCTGAGACTGGATGATACCGGGATACTCGGGTACCAGGGGCCACGGAGGACACAGCAGCCGTGGAGACCCAAGGCCAGACAGCCCGCGCTCCCTCTCGCAGAGGCCCGGGTGCTTCTGGGGAGACAGGAATGGAGCGTCCCCGCCAGGAACCTAACCAGGGCCCCCGACCTGTGAGCCTGGAGACGGGACACTCACCTCGGCGGCCGCTGGCCAGCGCTTGGTGGCCCAGGCTGCGCTGCAAAGCAATCCAGGGCTAGAGGGAGGGCGGGGCTATGAGGGCGGGGCCTGCGGAGGGGCGGGCCTCACTAACGGGAGTAGGGGTCTGGGGAGAAGTGGCCAGGAGAACGAAACATCGCGAGAGTTCGCCTCAGCTCTCAATGTCTCATGATAGGTGGAATGGGAGGTTCATTTTCAGAGCCAGGCGTCTATTGGCTGAGAACGCGACTTCCTCCAGGGTCCGGGCCATGGCTCTGTGCTGACTTCCGGCTCCGCCGGCGGCAGCCTCAGGAGCCGCCGGTAACTGACCTGTTTTCGTTCACACATTCATTCCGCTCTCAGCCCCTCGTTGACGGATGCTAACAGTAAGCGAGCGATGATATAGCAGGCATCGTGCTAAATGCTTTAACAGCGATCCCGGCTACCGATACATACACCACCAGTCTGACATTTAAACAGAAGCCGTCCGGCTTTCGCAACTCGAGTAAGTCGGGTCAACAAGAAGAACTTACTGGATTTCAGGTCTCAGAACGTTCCCTGAAAGGTGCCAAGTACAGTCTCTACCCTAAAGACCTGGTGTAAGCTGGCACCCGACGCTCCGGAGGTGGGCACAGATCAGGAGTCAGGCCAACCTCAGCTACGTGAGACACTGTCACGTAAATAGAAATAAAACAACACGCACACACACGCACAGGCTGTAGTGTGAGAAAAAACTAAGGACAACCACAACCTAGTGAAGTACTACGGCAGTTCCTAACAACGGCTAAGCAGGCAGTCCATACAAACCTCTTCAAGACGAAAAGCCTGATTGTTCTGATGGAGCAAGTGTGCAGCCCGTTACTCTGAGACTGAGGCAGGAGGATCACAAGCCGAAGGCCAACCTGGCGAGCTAATGAAACCCCTATCTCAAGTATTTTTAAAAAGAAGGGCAGGTACGTAGCTCAGTAGAGGCACTAAATTCAGTCCCTAGTACCAGGGAAGAAAATAAAAACTTTTGTTGTTTTGTCTGTTTGCCTCTTGTTTTGAGACAGGGTTTCTCTGTGTAACTGTCCTGGCTGCCCTGGAACTCGCGCTGTAGACCAGGCTGGCCTTGAACTCACAGAGATAAGCCTACCTCTGCCTCCTGAGTGCTGGGATTACAGCTGTGCACCTCTGCCTGACCAGTAAAACATTTGTAAAATGTGACGTTGACGCAAGAACTTTCTTCTCTCCTCTCCCTCCCTTTCCTCTTTCTTTTTTTGAGACAGTGTTTCTTTGTGTAGCCTTGGCTGTCCTGGAACTTGCTATGTAGACCAAATGAGGCTAGTCTCAAACTCACAGAGATCTGCCTGCCTCTGCCTCAGCTTCACAAATTCTGGGATTAAAGGCCTGCACCACCAAAGCCTAGGAACAGCTTTCTATCATTAAAACTTACACTAAAACTTGCTCTTTATTGTTTAACGAACCACATTCATGTGTATGATGTGTTTTGATCAACTCTATGCCCCCTTTAAAACTTATTTTTTAATCTTTTAAAAAATGGCATGTATTAATTTGCATAGCGGCTTCTTGTTAAGCATTCTCAAATTTTTTGTTTGTTTGCTTGGTTGGTTTTTACAGACAGGGTTTCTCTGTGTAGCCCTGGTATTCATTCTGTAGGCCAGGCTGGCCTCGAACTTAGGATCCACCTGCCTCTGCCTCCCGAGTGCTGGGATCAAAGCATATGCAACCACCCAAATCATCCTCAACCTTTAAATGAACTACTTTTATGATAGTGTAATTACTCTCAGAAATGAATAACTTAAAAAGCAGTTAAATAAAATAAAAATAATAACAGTTCCAAAGTAAGATATGAGTTAAAATAAAACATAAATTATCTATTATTTAATCCAGTCTTCAGGAGTTACAGGAGTATATGGCATAGTATATATCCTATATTTATTAAAACCTCTGGGGGAGTTTAAAATAAGGAAAACTAGAGTTAGTATAAAATTAAAAATCCTTGGAGCATTAAGGATCAACTCCAATAATAAGACTTGCTTCTATCTCTCTCTGACCTCATCAGAGAAGTTTCTTTGTGCCATGGGTGGTAATTAACATAACTCACAACTGATAAATAAGTGTCTATAGAACACTAGCCACAAATGGGACACCCTGCCTCCAAGTCTCCCTAAACCCCAGGAGACGATTGCAGAAGAGGTCAGGGAGGAGCAGAGCAAAACAGCATCTTCTAAATACAACAGGCCTCCGCATTCATTTGCGTGGGTGTTAACTGTGGTTGCCGGTGCAGGATCAAGTCAGTCAGCATTTTACCACGGAGGAGGAAGGGGTTCACCAGCCCCCCATCCTCACCCCCACCCCCAACTGAGGAGCTATGGACAGTCGGTGGCTTCTGGGGGAGGGAGAGTTGGTTTTCTTTAAAGATGTGGCCCTTCATAGGCAGACCTTACTCTAGCGGCTGGCCCCATGAGTATATAGACAGGGCATATTGGACTCCATTGGTTATTAAAAAGAAGAGGAGGAGGAGAAAACAAGAGGGAGTGGATCTGGGAGGGTTGGGGGGAGGAGTAGAGAGGGAATTTGATCAAAATGCATTGTCTGAAGTTCTCAGAGAGTAAAAATATCCTAGATGTCTTTCTCTGGGTTCTGCGCTAATAAGTGTAATCCTCAACGCTCATCAAGGGAATTTCTCTTTGCATCTTATGGAGACCATCACAGAAAACCCCAAGCAATCCAAATGTAGGGTAGAGACACAGCCAATTCATCTGCAACACAACACCTAAGACTCAGGGGTCCCTGGGGAAGGGGGTAGAAAGACTAAAAGTCGGAGGAACAGGAAGCTTGCTGCAAAACTGTGTTTCCTAGAAATGTCAGAAGCTACATCCATAAAGTCGCACTGATGTATGTGCCTAAATATGACCTGAATGAGGACTGCGCCAATAGCCATGCTAACATCAGCTAGGAAAAGCTCAGGAGGCCTCCACAGTATGCAAAGAACTACAGGCAATTAAAGAGTGTTGAGACTGGGTGAATAGTATTCCCCTGAAGCTTATCTAATACCAAATGCCAAATGATCACACACACACACACACACACACACTCTCGTGTGCACATGTAATTTTGGAAAGGCCATGAATTTTAAAGAAAGCAAGGGAGGGGTACATAAAAGGCTTGGTCAGGAAGAAAGAAAAGGAAAAATTATGTAATTATAATCTCTATGCATGTATTTATATAATATTAATAGATTCACAGTCACAAAAAGATTAATAATAGAAAAATATTTTAAGTAATGTCAGCTTCTTAATTTTTGTGTTTCATTTTAAGAGAGAAATATTTTTGGCATATTGTCCAAAAGTTGCTGGTGAACAAAAACGAATCATGTTAAAATAGCTTTTACTTCTCCAAATTGATAGTATAATTACTTTTAGACGTTCAGTTTGTGGAGTACTGATTTACACATTTTTATTGGACTTAAAACACAAAGAAAAACTCTAAAAGATGTTTTTTGTACAACCTGTGGCAACTTTTAACTTCAACAAGTCAGCGATACCACTTTAAGAAAATTCCAAGGAAAACTGCAACCCGATCTAAATTTCCCACCTCTGGCTCCCAAGGATTGGGTTACACAGTTTGACAAAATTCTCTTCTCCACTCCCTATTGGTGAAGGCTCTATCATTCATTCTTTGGCCTGGAGTTTTGAGACAGACAGGGTTGCTTTATGAAAAAAGGCTCTTGTGTTGAGGATGAAACTGCTCTATTCAGACTTATTTATGGTTATCAGGCTGTAGAATCACCAGACTGATCCAGAGGGGGCCAAACTGGCAAAGCAGACGATCAAGGAACTGTGGAACAGAAACGGAGTTTGCATCGTACTGGGTAAACAAACCGACAAAGGATTTTACAACAAAGTTGGAGATGCTGAGAGTTAAGGAAACTTTCTAGGTTGCTCTTGTTTTGTTGTTTTGCTAGTTTTAAAGAACCATCGTCGAGAGGAAACACTGTCGCCATCTGAGGGGCCAGGAGGAGGAGTTTTCAAAGTTATTTTCTCTTTAGAATGAAGTTGGAAACAGGATCCCCAGGTTATCAGTAGCGTTTTGCAAGGTAAACAAGATTAGTTGTAGGTTTTTTTTTTTTGCTTCAAGAAAATGTGCTTTGCTGCTATTGTTGCTCTAATGTGGATTTTATATTGTAATTTTTAAGTCAAATGGATATTTGTGTGTGTGCATTATGATAACAGGTGAAATACACAAGCCAACTATTTAGAGGGAAAAAAATCACAGTTGACTTGGAATTGAAATTGGGCAAATAATTGTAAAGTGGTAAACTGAAGGATGGATTTGCCTATGAACAAGCCAGACATAATTTGGTATATACAACATTATCAAGCAGATGCATTCTCCCCAAAAAGAAATCTGCTGTCTATATTTTCAATAAAAGATGTTTAATTAATGTTATGATATAAAGTTCAGGAATATATAGAATAACTGTTTCTTGCATTAACCATCTTAGTTCGCTACTGGGACATACAACAAAACTCCAGAAGATCATACCAAGGCTGTGGGCAAATGGGGCTCAGAGATTTTCAATGAAAGAGTCTGCTTATTTTCAGTGTGCAGTGACCATGACTGCTAGGAGCATCAGGATCTTCAGGGAGATTGTCAAACTGTTAGTACCTGTTCTCACTAGGGAGGGAAGGAGGGAAGTGGCATCCACAGTGGGGCTGCAGCCCGGTCAGAGCTGGCTAGGACTGCAGCAGCAGGAGGTTCATTGAGAACCTCCATTAAGTGGCAAGAATGCTTTATTTTGTAAACAGAGCAGGAGGTTGCATGAAGAGCCAGTCACTAGCATTAAGGAGTTGAGTTGTAGACTTTCAGTATGAAAACTGGCGTTGCAGCCTGATTGCACCAGGGCAAAGACTGGAGCTCAGTAATAAATTGGCATAGAAGTAATGCCCCTTTCTCTCCTAGTTTCTACCCAGGAGAGGAAACCTGCCGTGTTTGCCTTTGTGAGACTGACTTCTTTTCTCGTAACATGCTCTTCGGTCCCATCCATTTTCCCCCAGATGGCATAATTTCATTCTTTATATCTGAACAGTCTGAATGAAACTGTTTCATACATCTACCTTTTCTTCATTGGCTGGTTCTTTGATGGGCACCTATGCTGCTTCCATGACTGGCTCTTGTGACTCAACAGCCCTAGTGGACAGGTGTCTTCCTATAGGAAGCTGACCTATTACTGATTCCAAACTCAAAAGGGGAGAAGGGGGAATCTCTAGCTTTAGAAACAGCTCTGACACAAGGTTCCCTTCTGGAGTGGCCAGGTCCAATACTCAGCAAGCATTATCTACTTAAGTCCCTTAAATAGCACAGACCTCAGGAAATTAGAGAAGCAAAAGAAATGTGACAGCATGAAAGTGACTTGTGCCACTTGTGGGCAGTAACAGTGAAAAAAGCTCACACATCCATTCCTATCTTTCTCAGCGTCTCCATGATGCCTGTTGATGTCTGAAGCCTTTATCTCTGTAGAATGGGCATTCCCACCCACCTGCTCCATCCTCTAAACCAAGCCATTGTTCACTGAAGGAGTTCATTCGTTACTGTATTCGTGGCTGCTTCCATCCTGGTTTCCTCCATCTAGTAACAGCTTTTCCCCTGAAGATTCTGGCTATTCCTTATGTACAGTATCAAGAAAAATAATGGAAGTAATTATGTAGTGAATTTGACTTTTAAACTAAATGCAATTTTAAGGGCTAGAAATGTTACTTAGTGGTAGAGCGATTGTCTAGCATGCATGGGACCCTACGCTCGATTCCCTAGTAGGGGTTTAGTTACTATAGCAGTGTTTCTATTATTTGGATCTTGTGTTAAAATTTATAGACAATATTTTTAGTGAATTATGATCCTAAGAACAAAGAAAGTCCAGTTCCACAAGGAATGTGATGATGGCTCTATCCCAGAGAAGGGGATTGACATAAAAGACATGAAATTTCATTTACAGTGCAATCTGTGAACTTTAAGGTTCAATGGGTCATCCTACAAATATATATCCATTCCAGGATCTGTGTTAGCCAAGATTCCTCATGATAGGGCTATGCCACAATCTGTTATCTGTTAGGGAGTTCACAGACACTTGGAATACTTTCAATGACCAACTCTTCTAGGAAGATGTGTTTAAGTTTTTGTGTGGATGTGTTCTGCAGCTGCATTGTTTTTTACCTACAAGTAGATGCATGCGTAGTGACTCTGGGCCTATCTTTTGGAGAAAATACACAGCTGTTTTCCAAGGCAACCACACACTTCACTTTCTCTCCAGGAGCGTGTGAGCTTTCCGCCTTCTCCACATCCTCACCACTACTTCTTATTTTCACTTTTATTATTGTTGTTCTCAAAATTTGGTGATTTTGATAATTTGTGATTTTGATAATGGTATCAACCTTATATGCTTCTTTTAAATTTAGCATTTAACTTTGAAGCATCAAGATGTCGATGTTGGTGAAGTCCAGCTATCTATCTTTCCTTCTCTCACTTGTACTTTGGAGCTGTAGCCAGGGAACCAAGCTCATGACCATTTACTCCAGTGTTTGGTCAGAGTTTTGTAGTTTTAGCTCTCAGGTTGAGGTCTCCGCTGTACTCAGGGTTAATTTTTATGTATGATGTGAAGTCCATCTCCCTTCTTTAAATGTGCCTCTCCAGTTCCAGTATCATTTATTGAAAAGACTGTTCTTTCTGCCAGTGAAATATCTTGGCATCTCTAGGGAATCAGGAAATACACAAGTCCCTCGGTTTGATCACCGACACAGGGAGGAAAAGAAGGGTGACTGTGCATGTAGGGTTAATTTTGGATGTCTTTTCTTGTCCTTATGCCAGTGTCATGCCTTTCTGCTATGTTTTATCCCAGCTTCAACTGAGCTATGTTTGACAAACTAAAATTTTACACATTGTACAAGGTAGGTTTTTCTTTTTTAGAACTTTTTGTTCTTTATTTTCAAGATTGTATTTTAATCACAATATTTCTCCCTTGCCTTTCCTCCCTCAAAACCTTCCCACATACCCCTTACTGCTCTCCTCCATATGCATATGTAAGTGTTATATACACACACATATATATATTCCTAAATATAACCTGTTAAATACGTATAATGCTTGCACATTTTCAGGATTGACTCTGGCCTTGGACTACTAATTGGTAAGCCCTTCCTCTCCCGCTCCCAGCTTCCTCGGTTGCCTATAGATCTTTGTATAGGATTGAGGCCAGTTTGTCGTGTTGGTTGGTGCCTTCCTCAAAAGCTGTTTTGATATACCTGCAGCTTATATGGTGATTACCACAGTCAAGCTGACTCACATAACCATCTGGCATAATTACTGTTGTTTACCTGACATCAAAAATCTAGGACATTTTTTTCTGTAGTTATCATGCTGGTCATGACAGCTTGAGAATGCAGAGCTGGCATTTTGCTTCTACAATAGTGTTTGATTACCATGGGTTTGTTAGGGCCTCTTGTTTTGTTTTGTTTTGGTTTTGGTTGGTTTTCTTACCTACTTAGAACAGGGTTTGTTTTTTGTTTTTTGTTTTGTTTTGTTTTGTTTTTCTGTGCAGTCCAGGTTAAGTGTAAACTCCTGGTCCTCCTGATTTACCTTCCTAAGTTTTGCTGTTACAGATCTTTGCTGCCATGACTGGCTAACTTCTGTTTTGGAGACAAGATTTCTTTGTGTTATCTCTGGCTGTCCCACAAAACTCACTCTAAGGACCAGGCTGGCCTTGAATTCACAGAGATTCACCTGCCTCTGCCTCCCGAGTACCTGGCTTCTGGCTGATTTTTTTTATAGTTTTATATTAATAATAACCTTAAATTTTCAAGTATGAATTACCTAGATTTCTCTTTTGTAGAGATTGTTTAATATAGTTTGAGTTTCTGGCATTTCCATATGAATTTAAGTACAAATTTTTCAGTTTTGTGCACGGAAAAAAGACCATTGATATTTTGATAGGAATTGTTTCAAATCTACAGATCAGTGAGAACACTGTGAAACCTCTCATCCATGAATGTGGAGTGTTTCTCCATATAGCTAAGCTTTCTTTAATTTCCTTAATTTTCAGCACATGTCTCGTATTAGCTATTTTCACATAGCAATAACTAAATACCTGACATTCACGACTTAAAAGACCAAAGAGGTTTGCCCGCTGGGTTCATGGTTTCAGTCTACTGCAGCAGAGGAAGCAGGAATATGAAGGGACTCCTCAGATGGCAGCAGACAGGAAGTAGAGCAAACAGGATGGAATCAGGGTGGTTATAGCGGTAAAGCCCCACCCATTGGTGGCCTGTTTCCACCAGCCACACCACGCCCACCTTCTAAAAGCTCCACAGTCTTCAAAATAGTTCCAAAGCCTGGGGACCTAGCATTCACATATGCTCCCATGGGAATCATTTCAGACTCAAACCATGATATTCTTACTTCATTACATTTATTCTTTAGGGGCTTTTGTTTATTTTGTGTTTTTATTGTTAATAGCCCACATGTGCTTACTTCCATTTTCAGGTTATATATCCTTAGCATATATAAATACAATTTTTGAAGCCAGGCATTCTGGGGCATACCTGTAGTCCTAGCACTCAGGAACCTGAGGCACGGCTCAGGTCCCAGTGAGAGACCATGTCCCTAGACAAACAACAGTGAAGAACAATGTGAAAACTGAGGAGTGACACCTGAGGCTGACCTCTGGTCGTCAGGAGCACATAGAGCTGCTCGTATAAGATGGAGATGAGGAGGGAGAGAGAAACAGACACACCAGTGGCGTGGTGGTGCATCCCTGCCAACCAGGGCTGTGTAGTGACTTGCTTTTTAACAAATACATAAACAACAAAGGTAAGAATAGAAACAATGGGAGAGAGAAGGACTGTAACTTATTTCTGTGTATCCTTTGAACTATTGAACATGTTTAACAAGGTTAGTAGGAGTTTCCTTATTCATTGTGCCTGGATTCTTTACGCTTCTGCATACAGGGTCATGCCATGATAAAGTTGTTTCTTTCCAATCTGCATGCCTTTAATTGTCTTGCCTAGTTACTATGATCAGAGTACAATCTTGAATGCAGGTATTAAG